CCCATGGCGCCATTCTATCGCGGCATGAGCCAGCAACGCCGGCCATAAACCTACCGTCTCCAACACTCCACTAAAAAGCATGAAATTAAGCCCGCCCACCAACATCAAGGTGCAAAAACTAGCCAAGGGGAGGGATATATTAAGCTATTTAAAATCACAGCAAAATTTATTCTGAAAATAAATTATTCTGGAAAATAAATTGCTCCGGTATTTATTTCTGCAATTTCTGGGGGGGGCAACCCAAATCCTGGGGGCCAGGCCTCCCCGGCCCCCCTCTATTTACGCCAACGATCATGCGTTACCCCCAGCAGTCACAGTTGACCACAACATAAAACGTCATTGAGCGTGTGGTAGAGATGATCGGCATCGAAGTCGATGAAACTGCTTGTCACCATGTGATCAACCTCTATTAGCTGAACTAAAGCTCGATTCAAAGTAAATCTGGACGCACGGTTTAATACACCACCGCGACCCTGGTGGTTGGAACAAAAAACGTTTGACACGCATTTTTTGATATTTCACGGCGAATGAAAACGACCCAAATTTGAGTTTAGTTCACTCATAATCGCCAAAAGTGCAGGAACTCAGCGATGAGTTAATTTGCCTCATGTTTTTCCAGGTTTTTCCAGGATTTTCCAGGGAAAAATCCTGAATTTGAGAAAAGCAAAAATTGGATTCACTCAGTCCATTGGTACTACTCCGAGACTGAATAAAATTTTCGTCAATTTCCTCATTTTCCGGCAGATTTTTTAGGTTTTCCACAGGAAACCATGAGACAAATTTTACTCATCGCTGAGTTCCTGCACTTTTGGCGATTATGAGTGAACTAAACTCAAATTTGGGTCGTTCTCATTCGCCGTGTTCATTGGCGAAGAAATTGGTGAAAAGGTTTTCTCGATTGATCGACGCATCCCGAAATTACGGATCATGGAACTTGAGAAAAGAAAATTAATTGTGCACAAACATCTAACGGGTGACAACTAAAATTTTGGAATTTCTTTCTCAAGCTGTCAAAAAAGACAAACATACTTGAAGAAGATCTGATTTATTGAAATTAAATATACATTGCCCATTGTTGAAAAAAAATAGTGAACATTTGAAAACGGTCCGTAATCGGATGTTCGACGAAGCTTCCGTTTGACGTGGAACAGGAGCGTTGTACGGCCTTCATGTCAACTTTGCGAATGCATCTCTTGATTCTACCAATCAACTGTTAGCAATTCGTGGCTCTCCAGTTATTTTTGTACACCAAGGAGTTCAAAACCCCGAAGAAATCTTCGATTGGGCGACACTGAGGCAGATTTGTCGGGTTGTGGTTTTTGGGTACAAATGGGATCGAATGGGTATTCAGGAACGATTGTGTTTTTTTGGCCTAATGCGATGACGCTTTATCCGGCCAAAACACGTATTGTCCATCAGCATGATGTTTTTGTAGAAACGGGATCAAAATTTTCTTCAAACATTCGTTCTGGTACACATATTGATTGATTGCCAAAAAAGAGGGCTTGAACCATGGCTTAGAAATGCCTTTCTCGGAAATGGCAATGTACAGCATCACTTTCTGTTCAAACTTATGTTTAAACTTATATTTTATGTTCGGAGGTGCAGTAGAACTATCCGTTGAATAGTATCGATCGTTTCCGGGAATCTGCGTCTTCGAAAGAGGGAAGTAACTTTCGTCGTCCAAAACAAAACTTTTTCCGGAATAATTTTTAATCAGCCAGCGGCATTGGGATTTCAGCGTTGAAATCTGTGCGTCAGTACATTCCGGGGCTCGTATCTTCTTTCGGCACTTTATTCCGACTCTTTTCAATGCTTTGCAGATGTATTGGTGAGAACAGTTGAACTTTTTTGCGACATCCCGTTGGCTCAGTGAATCCTTGTTGTTGAAGGCACGAGAAAGAGAACGAAGTCCTTTTGCGTCCATAATTTTGGCTGGTCTTCCACTACCTTGTTTGCGAGCAGTTGTTGGGGATCTTAGGATATGGTAAACAGTCGAAGCCGCTACATTTTCGCTTTTAAAATGTTGTACCGTATACTTTTTTCCGAGATTTCTGTGCAGTTCGTAGAACTGTACAACGCGCTCGCGAAATACTTCTTGTTTCGACGGCTTTTTGAGCAAAACTGAGCAAGCATAAACAAAAAGAAAATACTAGCAGAAAGAGGAGAGAGAGAGCACTTATTTCTCTCTGAGCTCGTTTGTTGTTGAGCATAGAAGCCTCGAAAAAATTCCAAAATTTTAGTTGCCACCCGTTAGAGAACCCTTCGTGATCTGCCTCAAAAATAGTAAAAGTATTAAAATTCCCAAAGTCAACGGTGAGTCTTGTAATCAAACGTTACATGGATACCCTGAGTGTGGATAGAGCACAGCGCATCTATTATAAAAGTGGCACTAGGGACAAAGAGCTGAGGAGAAAGGTGTTGAGGTACGTGAAAAACAACCCAGGTGTCTCCATACGTGATTTGGCAAAGAAATACGATTCCAACTTTTCCACCGTGCTCAACATCCTTTCAAGAGAAGGATATAAGTCTTTTTGTGCCAGTAAACATCCGAATCGCTCCCTGAAATAAAATTTAGCGGCCAAAAAGCCAGCACGATTACTATACGAACGAGTTTTGACGAAATTTGATGGCTGTATTTTAATGGATGACAAAACATATGTCAAAATGGATTATAAACAAATCCCCGGACGAAAATTTTACCTGGCAACGGTACAGTGTCACCATCGAGTGTGTAAATCATGATGGCATCGATCACAAGTAAAGTGCGACAGTTCGTTCGAAACGGTGAAATCATAGAGGTAACTCTAAGACTAGTAGGTCCCGAAAAAACGTGCTCAACTTTTTGGCTTAGCTCTGGTACTCTCTTCGGTCCCAAGCCAATCGATTCACCCCTCGAAACATAGGAAGATCCACTAACCCCTCGTTTTATCTGTCAAACTTTCATAGCGAATCAAAACGAACATTGCGTAGTACTAGAATTTCGACTAGAATGGGGTACGTTAATCGTTTGCTTGGGACCAATAGGCTAGTCAAGTAGTGTGCCAATTTAAAAATCGTTACCTTCGTATTGATTGTTGCTATTACACTAGTGCCAATTATGATCTTATGGTCTAGTTTTGGGCCGTAGTCAAAAAGCAAAGTTTACTCAGCGATTACAAGATACATTAAATTATTTGCTTTATACTTTCTTTGTTACATCAAAGTGACTGATTTTTAGTCATACGGTTAATGAATTGTCACATACGACGGAGTCATTATTTGAAATAAGTCCCATCGCTTCAAATTGAATTGTAATACCCTGAAATTTTAGCCATCAACCCAATATGTATTGCTCTTTTAAATTATAACCATTCAAATTTTACAAGGGCCAAAACTGGCTCACTTTCTCTTGTTGATCAAAAATATTACTAGCGTTAAGTAATTTTTGAAAAAAAAAACAAACTCAATTACACAGACTACGAAATTAGTTTCGTGTGTCTCTCTCCCAGATTTTGATGGGAGACAAGTACTAGAAATTTCCCTCTTGCACTCATCATGAAAAGTCTATACTTCGCAAATACAACTTTCTCCATTCCCTCCATTCCCTTTTACGTAATTAGCAGTTGATTCAAAGTTTAGTCTCCCATCAAAGACGTAGCCATACAGTTCGCAATAACCTGATCGATTATATCTTTCCATTGAACTTCTGGCCGACCATAACGAGTAGTTGGAAATCCAATGCGACAATCGTGGGGGTCGTGTACAAATCCTTTCCGAATCAAAGACGACAGATAATTGGATTCCTTGTTGTACACATTCCAACCTTGAGGCTGTACATGCTGAGAAAAAATAGTGCGTATTTTGCTGCTGACCATAGATTTTTACAATTTAGGCTGTGTTCCGGATGGTGAATTTTCACTTAAAATTGACACTTCAAACAAAAATCAAAATGTTCAAAAATCCCTCAGTTGTTGATTGACCGATTTAAGCCTTTAAATTTTGATTAAAGATCTTTTCACTCCGTACATGTTTGGTTTAAACTTTGAACCCTACCTAGATCGACATACTGAAGAAAAAAAACTTATGATCAACTAACATATCGTGAATTCGGAAAACAATTTTTTCACCGTGTACAACCTAGCTGTCATAGAAATTTTCCAAATTGGAAACCATGTTCAACAGAAATGTTTCGATCGGATTCGGTCCATTGATTCCGTTGGCAGCGCGAAAACTCGAATTGGCTCCTTTCAAACATTTCACAAGATACGTTTCGCAGCGAGCAGATTTGCTTCACTGTACGTATCAGGGGGATGCGAATGCCAGTATTTTGCCAACACATCATAGATGGTGACACTCCAGTAACATAATTTATTAGAGTTACAATTAATCAGTTTATTGTTGCTCGCTACTCATCGTCTTGAAAACAAATTGAAACTTTGATTTTTATTTATACATAAATTCCAAAACTAGTTGATCGATGTTCGCATTGCACAAGTTTTGTGATAGACCAACCAAAAATTAGGAACCAAAACGCAAAGTATCAAAATCAATGTGAGGTAGATGCGTTATATATTGGTTTTGACAGCCACACCATACCCCTGGTACGTATGTATGCAAATTGAAATTATCGCTTGATCGAACGCACATGTAGCATTATACGAAATGCAACAGCCTAAACAGCCTAAACAAATTCCGGAGTGATTTGAGAGTTGGAAGTAATTACTTTTGTAAGCAAACGTTTTACCTAAAGATTTCTCGAGAATAAAAGCTCAGTCTAGAAAATTAACAACACAAACAGGTAAGGGAATGATTCATCTAGCATGTGGTGTTATTTGATCCCGAGATTGAGCTTTTATTCGCGAGAAATCGGCGATTCACGTGTTTGTTTACAAAAGCAATTGCGCCCAAATCTCGAAGTTCTCCGGAATTAACAATGACGCAAAATGTCCGCAGTTTCAATTTATTAACAAAGTAATTGGGATGATTTTATGAACACCTACACTTTCCTAGGTTCCTATTTACATGTCAGTCATCAGATTGTAGCAAAAGTTACCTGGCCTACAATGTTCTTCGGTACGGGGACAGAATTCTCGAAAAAGCTTTTCATTTGCAGCCAGCAGGTCATTGATTGCATCCAGCTGCTTTTCAACGGCCACCAAGGTTTCGGTGTGGCAAGCAAGGACGCCGATAACTGGAAAATGCTGGCAGAGAGAGAGAGAGAGGCCATAAAAAATAAATAAATCACGAGTGGAAACATTCCGCACAGCTTATACATATTTTAACACAGTAGCCTACAATGAAGCGCCACTTTTGACGTCAGGTCCAAATTACACGCCAGCTTTGATTAAAGTTTATGACCTTGCCATTTTTTTATAACTACCGCTTAAATTGAAAGTCAAATCACAGACAAACCGACATGACAATTAATTCTGACTTATGCTCGAAAATCGTAAACGGCCGATTCAAATGTGCAGTGATCCGAACTGTCAAAACCATAGGATATTTTAATCTAGATAAAAATAATTTGTCCAGAATAGATCAGACACGCACCAATTCATAACTTTTACATGCGAGTTCTTCTTCTTCTTCTTCTTCTTCTTCGCATTTCAAGCTTATTGCATATCGCATATTAGCTTATAGCGTGCTCTCAACTTAGTGTTCTAGATGCACTTCCACAGTTATTAATTGAGAGCTTTCGATGCCTGTACCATTTTTGCATTGGTATAATTGTGTGGCAAGTCCAATCATACTTCTATGCCCAGGAAGGCGAGAAATGTTCCAACCCGAAAAATTCCTAGACCGGACCGGGAATTGAACCCAGCCACCTCCAGCATGGTCTTGCTTTGTAGCTGCGCCTTTACCAACTGAGCTAAGGGAGGCCCCCATGCGAGCATGCGAGTTCTTGGCGTAGCTAAATATTTCCAGCAAACACAGGACCAGATGTCAGTAGTGTGCTTTAATCAGAAATTTTATTATTTTTGCTATGGTAATTCATGTCGGTTTGTCGATGGTCTCATCTTCACCTTATTTCGTTTCACCATTTTATTTTACACAGCGATCTTTTAAGAAAGTCAGCCTTGTAATTACCAGAAGGTAATCCCACTCGGATTAAGGTAAACTAATCGAAAAAGTTGGCGGTTTTTTTTGCCATGTTATGAAATATTTAAAGCGAAACAATCTATATTTATCGCACCTCTATCTGAGCTGCGATTGCGTTATATCAGGGGAGCGAACAAGAAACCGGAATTGAACGCACTTTAAGGATGAATTAGAAGGATTTCCAAGAAACAAGCACTCTAAAAAGTTTTTAGGAGTTGCAGGGCAAATTTAGAATGGCTATAGATTACTTCCAGGAAACATTTAAATGGCTCCCGGGAAAAAAAGGCTGGGCATCATTCAGGATTTTCTTTCAGATAAACGAGCAAACTAATGATGCTTGATCAGTAGCAGCAAGCTGGAAGATAAAATCGGTTGCAAATTTGTCCTGACAAACTCCACTCTTTGTTTTAATTCCATTCAATGACTTTTGAATTGCATTGCCCTTTCCTTTTCTCTCACATAAATATTGCTCAGTTACAGTTCGAAAGGGATTGAGCAAACTCCCTTTTGAACTGCAACTGCAGTGCTAAGTTTTGTCATTCTCACTGACAGATTTCATACAATATTGACAGAATTATTCTTGATATTGTTTGACAACAATTTGTCTGGTAACAGAACAATTAGCTTCAACGCATCCGTCATGTACTAAAAATGCTGACGGACGCATTTTTTTCCTTTGGTTTGTTTTTTCCGTCGATCTTGTTTTCCGTGCTAAGCACCAATGCTACCGACGTGCAGGAAGGCAGCTCGCACACCTGGACCCTACCTATCGACCCATCAACTCATGAACCGGGGACCAACGGCTTTACTTCCCATCCGAAGGAATGCCTCAGAACATCCCGGCGGCGCCGACTGGGATTGAACCCAGGCCTGTTGGGGTGAGAGGTAATCACGCTTACCACTACACCACCGGCGCCGTTGACGGACGCATTGGCGCAGCGGTTGTGCACAATCATGCGTCATGCGTTGCGTTTTGACAGCAGCATAATCTCGTTTTAATCATTTGTTTTGGTAGAAGATGTAATATTTAAAAAAAAAAGTCCGAACATTCTGAATTTTTCGCCAATTTTATTTGTTAACGGCAGCAGGAGCTTATGTTTTGTGTCGGAATAGGAATTTGAGCGGGGTTCTCTTTGTTTATACTCTTTAGTATGAGGCGCTGGACATAGATGGCCCACAGCGACTCACGAAGAGCTACTGATTCCGATCAATAGTGGTGCGGCTTTTTCCTCCTTCTATGGATGCCCATTAGACTGATGCAAAATTTGAAATTTTCGCTCCACAGTGTTCAAACGGTTTCAAATCAGGTCCTGACAAGCCTCCCAAAATTTAAAATCATTTGGTAAGAAACTGACTTGGCACAAACTATTCGATGTTTATATGGAAATTACTATGGGAAAACCAAACTTTTTGTTCATTGTCTTCTACCCATTTTCCATATTGCTTTTTCGAAAATTTCTATAACTATTCCTACGGGAAATTTTCTAAGCTACAACTTTGCGGAATAACGTTTTTCAGCCAAATGTCAAATTAAAATGATATTAATTATTTAAGAGATGTATAATCTTATGACATGATCAAGCAGCTGTCCTGTGGGCAACACTGCATTCTGCAGTGTGACATAGTAGCCATTATATTTGTGCTCTATTCTTCGCACCAGAATCACCAATAGATCAGTGCACGGTCCCTAACCTCAATTTTTGCTCCCTATCATTTTGCTTCTGAGTAAAAGAGATAGCAACGAATGGGAGCCAAAACAAACCACCCAAAACTGTCAAAACTTACGGGTGAGAGAAGAGTGCGGCAAATCTTCGTGAACTGATCAATGTTACCTGCTGAACAGTTGAATGCAAGCTTGGGAATTGTCAACCTCATGACGATAAACTATGTAACAACGACAACAAAAAAAGTCAGCACTCATCTGCTTGTGTTTGAAAAACTGATCTACTGGGCCGTCTCTCGACGGAACATTTTCTATTCTTGTCTTTCTCTCATTTGGTCACGAAACATCTGTTGCGTGACTTTTTCCAGAACGACTTAGGCTGTGAACCATTTGCCGAGTTATATTTTACTCATGGTTAAAAGTGACATTTCGAAAGTTATTTCTTATGTTCGAAAATCCCCGTGCTGTCGATCGACCGTTTTTCGAGCAACGGTCGTCAAAATTTAACTTCTTGTCTGTCAGAAATAACCATGCTCGGATAGCAGGGTTAATCGATAACTTTCCATCTGTCAAATTTTAACCAAAAGTTAAAAAAAATCGCCAAATGGTTCAGAGCCTTAGTTGTTTCACGTACGTCGGACGACAAGATGACGAAAACTATCGACATGGTTATTGACGAAAAAAGTCTGTCATGTCATTCTTCCATTCTGTCGCGACCAAACTGCCGCTGGTCGTTTTCTAGTAAATGCATGTCGCTTTGCATACGAGACATAACAAGGTAGAAATAACTGGAATTGAGTTGTTTTGATGGATTTCACCTCTGACTGGAAGTTGCTTGAATCTTGGCGCTGAACTTCGTATTTGCAGTGATGAGTATTTTGGAACGGACACAACTGGAAGCTGCCGAAAATCGATGTTTGGAATCAAAGATGGCGGCGTCAGGTTTAATAAAAAAAAGTTTTAAATACTGCCAAATACCTAAATTACGGGATGACGTCTAGAGACCGAAAATCGATGTCCAGCGCCATCTGGAAATCAAAACGGGCGGCTGCCGATTTCAGAAAAAGTGGGAAATACTACCAAATACCCATCAAAATGGGTAATTCCGGAATCGGAATGACGTCTAAAACCCGAAAATCAATGTCCAACGCCATTTTGGAATCCAAGATGGCGGCTTCCGGTTTCAGGAAAAGTGGTAAATACTGCCAAATACCCTTCAATATGTATATTTTCGGAATCGAGATGACGTCTAGAGACCGAAAATGATGCCCAGCGCCATCTTGAAATTAAAGATGGCGACTACCGATTTCAGAAAAAGTGGGAAATACTACCAAATACCCTTCAATATGGGTATTTTCAGAATCGGGATGACGTCTAAAACACTAAAATCAATTTCCAACGCCATTTTAAAATCCAAGATGGTGGCTTCCGGTTTCAGAAAGAGTTGGAAATACTACCAAATACCCTTCAATATGTATATTTTTGGAATCGGAATGACCTCTAGAGACCAAAAATCGATATCCAGTGCCATCTTGAAATCCAAGATGACAGCTTCCTGTTTCAGAAAGAGTTGGAAATACTACCAAATACCCTTCAATATGTATATTTTTGGAATCGGAATGACCTCTAGAGACCAAAAATCGATATCCAGCGCCATCTTTGATTTCAAGATGGCGCTGGACATCGATTTTCGGTCATCTTAAAATCAAAGATGGCGGCTTCCGATATCAGAAAAGGTGAAAAAAAAAACTACCAAATACCCTTGAATATGGGTATTTTTGGAATAGCATTTTGCATTTTAAGATGGCGCTGGATATCGATTTTTGGTCTCTTGGCGTCATCTCGATTCCGTAAATATACATATTGACGTGTATTTGGCAGTATTTCCCACTTTTTTCTGAAATTGGAAACCGCCATCTTGTATTTCAAGATGGCGTTGGATATCGATGTTTGGTCTCTAGACGTCATCCCAATTCCAAAAATATACATATTGAAGTGTATTTGGCAGTATTTCCAACTTTTTCTGTATTTGGCAGTATATCGCACTTTTTTTGATATCGGAAGCCGCCATCTTGTATTTCAAGATGGTGCTGCATATCGATTTTTGGTGTTTAGACGTCATCACGATTCCATAAATATACATATCGACGTGTGTTTGGCAGTATTTCCCACTTTTTCTGAAATTGGAAGCCGTCATCTTGTATTTCAAGATGGCGCTGGATATCGATTTTTGGTCTCGAGACGTCATCCCGATTCCCAAAATATGCATATTGAAGGGTATTTGGCAGTATTTCCCACTTTATCTGAAATAGGAAATACCAATATTGAAGGAAATTAACATTATTTCCAACCTTTTTGAAATTTGTCCTCCTTTTTAGAATGAATGGTTTCTTGTCGTGATCCTCCTTTTTAAATGACCTATAGTACTATGTCTCAATG